CCTCTCTCTCTCTCTCTCTCTCTCTCTCTCTCTCTTCTTAGTGGATCAGAGCTTTAACAGTAGCATGTGCTGCAATGGGGCTTGATGGCTTCTAAACCTGAATGAAGTTTTCTTTTATTTTTCTTTTTTCCTTTCATTTGGTTTTCTTATCCTTCAATGATGGAGGGGAGTAAGATATGTCTGCTGTTCCAGTTGAAATATTCCTAAGCATTCGTGAGCTAATCATGATAGCAGGCACCTTTTTCACACTGTAACTTAATCAAGTAAGCTAAGGAAGAACAAAGCGGAAATAGTTCTAAAATCACTTCTGATTAGCTATGAACTGTTAAATGATGCATGAAATGATTGATTGATGTGCTTCACAATGACAGTTATCTAAAACTGTGAATTAACCCTGCTGTAATGAAGCCTTCTTATAATTAGGGTTTTTTTAGGGTTTACTTCTTGTACCTTGTTATGTGGATTGTGCATAAGAACGAATGGTTTAGGAAGCTGATGCATAGCACAGCAGATCTATTGTTGGAATAGAAGCAACAGTTGAAGATACCATCAGGAAACGAGCTATGAGTCAGCTCAAATAGTTTGCCATATGTGGAAGAACAGATGTAGGCCCAGCTTGTATGTCTGCTTGCATGCAATGGCATGATAATATTTCTCAAAGATTAATACATCTCAAAGATGTCTGCTGTTGTCTGGTCATGGATTTTGATGCCTACATTTTAGGTGAACATATTCGCTGGCAGATAAACAACAGGTGTGGCTTCATTGAAACATCTTCTCAAGGTTTAGAATGTTGATATGACCTTACACTCTATCATAATGTCAATGTCTCGGACTATATATGGAATTTATTGTCATCATAGAGATCAATATTACAATTAATAGAATTGATTGGATTCGGTTTTGGAAGCTACATGAGTGAAAAATCATGTGATATAGGGTCATTTTCTTTGGCATTATTAACTTTTCTTACTAAGAAACCTATCTATCAGAAGATGGCAGCTACTCATGTATCTTTCAGCACATATGATCATTAAGCGTTTGTGCTATATAGAGAAACTAAATACTAATTATGGTTTTAGAGTGTATAGTTACCGAGAAAACGGCTTTTACTAGTGCATTAGGATTATTTAAGTTCAGAGATCATATTTGTTTAATGCTTTTGATTACAATTAGAATTCGCTAATAAGATTTCAGCAATCCTAAAAAAAAGCAAGTGTGGAAAACCAAATTCTAACTATTAATTATGTGAAATTGATCCATAGTTAATGGTCTTCACTAATACACATGCTCAAAACATGGAGAAAAATGTACTTAAGCTGTTGAAGAAGACTAGCTTTTACAAGGATAATTTGATGTTTCTCTAATAATACAAATTGAAGTTTTTCTCAGTGACAGCATAGATATCACAAGGTAGGAAAATTTGAACTAAATTGAAGAAAAGAACCACTAAGATGTAATGTATTCATCAGCTTAATGCTCATTATCCATAGTGCATGGCTACATATGAAGTTGCTTACATCTCTCACTCACATGGTTGACAAAACTAGATTTTATGTTGATGGAAATATGCTGCAAGAACTTGAGATGATGAGATCATGAATAAATCTACAAGAAAGTTATTCGAAGTTAAAAGCCCTTTCTCATTAATTAAGAAACAATCGAGAAGATCGTTACAAAGTTTCGGTATTGTTCTTTTATATGAAATATTGTTTCATATCATGCATACTTTCTTCCTCAATGGATGCATATTTGGTAGGTTGTTGTAGGTTATTATATATGTAACTTCAATTTTCTTACAAATAGAACTTCAATAATGATAATCTTGGCAATGTTTCTTTTTGATAGTTGATTCCAAATCTATTTTCCAAGCTTAGTTGTCTACTATCTTTTTACTTTTATTGTATCTAATCAAGGATTAACCTGATCCATTTGTCGGTCATGACGAAATCGAAGATGACTCAAGAACTTAATTAGTGCTCTTCATGATCAAGTTAACACCAACATGAATCAAGACATTGATTGATACCGACAAATCCATGTAGATATAACTGCATAAAGGTTTTGAAGATAAAGATGATTGATAGAGGCAATATGACAAGTATTGCATCTTCCAAACAAGGTCAATATTACTTTTGTGTTAATGGTGATTCAATAAAGAGGATCTATTGAAGGTTAAAGTTGTTGCTTGGTTCAATAGATTGTTACCAAATAGAAGAGAAGGAAAGGGCCATTTTAGGAATTAAATACATATAGAGTTGGCTCCAAATGAAATATTTATTATAGAGAAAAAAAATACAATTGTAGAGTTTTATTCCTTTATCTTTAGCATGATAACCTATTCGAAATATACGTTAATTCGGTGACAAAATCAACTACAAAAAAAAAAAACCAACTGGAAAAAAATTATTGGAGACATACTACTTTTTTTCTTTATTAGTTATGTGTTGGGAAAAATAAGTTATATATTAGAAAACTAATAAAAAATATTCTAAGAGAAAATTGAACATATTATTTAATTCAAAATGTCTATTCTTGTTATGTCATGAATTCAAGAATAAATTCTATTCAATGAGATGGTTTTGAAGTAGTATATCTTTCGACTTTAGATCGATAAGAATTTGTTACGACACTCGCAAACAAATGAAATTATATTCACTTAGCTCTGCTTAGGTTCTTACTATTCTTTTACGGAATTTGAATTTTATTGGATTGATGTTAGGGTTATCATATATAAAGATCGGACATCATTACGACTTAAAAGTTTAAGTATATGAGTTTTAGATTATATCTAATATATATTAAAAAGAATTTGATCGAGATAAACATAACTCCTAAAGTCTAAAGTCACTAGAAAAGAATCTAATATATGATTTAGCATTCTCGAGCAAATCGATTTCAGCTTGACTTCCAAGTGTATGTCCAAGTCTAAATAAAAAATGATTATTTAAGTCAGTCAAACTCATGACCGAAAAAGAAAGATTTGATTGGATGAAAATTAAATTCCAAAAACTCAAGCTATTAAGAAAAAGCCCAAAATATTCCTTAACATATGTGATATAATTATTTGAATCCGTAGCATTGCTTGTTCATCTGCAAAGTCCGGTCTTCCGAAAGCACTTGAATCATTACTGTGTGCTGCAGTGGAAATACTTTGGAAAGGAGCTTTACAGTTATCCTGTGTTCTTGCAGGGGGTTTAGTACGTACTGTGAACGTTGGAGCAGGCTGCATCAACGGGCAGCTCGTACAGCCACCGCCAGGGGAGGGGGTGGAGGCGGAGAGGCCGCGGTCGTGAAGCTAGGCGGCGATTCCGGAGATTGAGGTCACGCGGACTTGTTGGGGCCCCGATCCCACGCCCTTTGACTCGGTGTCGACTCGGTCTCCGACAGGGAAATCTGCACCCCGGATTTGACACCTTCAGCGGTGGGGCCGCCGCCTGTAGTCGGCCCCCACGGAAGGCAGCTCCGGAGCGCCACCACCGCCATGGCCACCTTTGTACGTGCGTGCCGGAGTGCAGAAACGCCATAAAATTCTTTTTTTATATTTTATTCATTAAATTAGATTTAATTTTTATTGTTGAGTTTTTTACCCAACAGTAAAGGCAGACAGTGACGACTTGAGGCTGCTGAAGGTGAATGGATTCATTGGGGGTTGGAGTGCATGGACTCCTCCCTCTCTCATGTGTAGGTTGCATTATTTCTATGATAAAGATGTTATTTCTATAAGTTTTTTTCAACTATAAAAAATTATCAATATAAAGGTATTAAAGAGATATATGTGGAATTGAGATTAGATGGAAGAAACCTCCTCTAGGGTGGTTCAAATTCAAATTTAATAGGGATAATTCTTGAAAACAAATGGTGGGTATATTAAGATTGTTCTCCCTTTATAAAAGAGTTTATTATTTAGTCTTTTTTTTACGATCTCCTTACTATTCATTTATAATCTCTTAAAAAATTAATAAAATAATATACTATTATTTACGATCTCACTAATTTTGATTTTACTAATTTGTTTTCTTTTTCATAACTCTTGCTATCGTAATCTATGCATCTTGTTCGATGCTTCCTCAACTTATGCGTCCTATCATCTCCCAGTCTACAATTCTTACCATTGATCATCACCCCCTAGCCTATGCTCCTTTGTCGCTCGAAGTTATTTAACCCCGCTCGCGACTACTTGCACATTGTCCTTTGAAGAAGAAAAAAAAGAGGATGAGGAGGAAAAAGAAATAAATATTTATGTACATTTATAAAAAGGTAATCATGAAACATTAAAAAAATTTAAAATATGATTGTAAATAGTTAAGAGGAGTTAATAATAATAATAATCTCAAAGACATCAATTGACTTAGTTCAGAGTTATAAATAATAATCTAACATAAAGTTTAAGCTAGTATTGTTGTGGATCAAACTTTTAATACATCATTTGACTTTTCCAATATATAGATTACACGCATGAATATATTCTAAGTGCTACCTATGTCTCTTATGGTTGGTGTTGGGTTGCTAAGTAATTGTTTCTATCAAGAATCACTTGGCTTTATTGACCAAGTAAATTAAGAATATTGGTTAATTGACCCATAATCATATGTGTTTGTGAATGTGGTTAGCAAAATAACTTTTTATGCATCCAGACAACATGGCAGCAATAAGCCCTCATAACAATTACAGATCATGGGATGCAATTTGCTTCATGCAATTTAATGTGTCTCACCAGG